TCGCATTGTGTGACGCCTCGCTGTTCCTTGATGGTCTAAAACACTTTATTACTCATATTAATGCGACTCGTTTCCAGAAATCAAGCCTGCCTAAAACCAGTTTAGAAACAATTTCCAGCGCTGGCGCGCCTCAGTGGTAGAATGCTGGGTTGGCACGCAGCGGACCCGGGTTGGACTCTCATTGTGTCATTGATATTCTTAACTTACCGAGTTTTTTTTTTGTTCGATACTAATTACGAGTGGCGGCGGCGGCGGACACGGCTCTACGCATGACCCATGTTCTGATCTCGTAACACCTTTCACTATAAAAAGAAAAAAAAACTTACTCAAGGATATGACACACACACACACACACACACACACACACACACACACACACACACACACACACACACACACACACACACACACACACACACACACACACACACACACATATATATATATATATATATATATATATATATATATATATATATATATATATATATCCTACAAAAACATAGAGCCTGCAAAAAATTATTCTTAGCGTCATTGTGCCCCCGGACGCCAAAAGAAAATCTATGAATGCAGTCGCATAGTCGCTAAAATATGGGAGAATAAGCGAATGAGCGAAGCATGCCTACTTAAACATCGAAAGCTGAGCCCAGTGTCCGCTTCACACGATTCGCACAGCCAAATACTACCCAAGAGCCCAACATCGTCGCCTCAAAATGTGATCACAGACGTGTTCAGAAGCGTCTTGTTCAATTAGAAGCATGATACGCAACATTACTAGCACTAAATCAACACGAAAGCCACGCACGCTAAACTGCGCCCATCCGTTTTCTGCCCTGATCAATATGGCGGTGTCGGCTTCAGCCGCGGAGCCTCTCCGCCACTCCAGAAGCTTTAATATAACCTCCTTGCAAACACATGAGTTTACAAACACTGCTGGCACCAACAGTTCTTTGTACAGCTGTACCCGTCACAATAAAACATGCTTTTTCAGCAGTACGCACAAGTGTTACGTGTCATAAAATTGGGAAGTCCACTGCAAGGTAAACTTTAATTTGTTACAACACAAAGCGATACAGACCACGGTATCGTGGTCTGTATACATATAAAGACATGAAGAAGAAATCAAAGATGTACATGAGGAAGGTTTCGAAGAACCGCTACTCTGCGCGGCAACCAACATATAATCAAACGAGTCGAGCAGCCAATGTAGGCTTAATTACAACACATTTCACATACCTTTGGTACTAGGCAACGTACTCATGGGCCTGGTCCAGAATCTATGGTTCACATTCTTCGTCCCCCCGCCTGGCGCAGACTTCCTTCTTCCAATGATGATGATGATGAATAAACTTTATTTTCGTATCCGGCATGTTTGTGGTCCGGGCTAGACCGCATAAGGAGGTGCCGGGAGACCTTGGTTGTGTTCTAATACTAACGGTAGACGGCTAAATAGACAGCTAAATGGTCGGCGGCCATCTCAAGTCCCATTTCAATCCTCACGTAGCCGGCAAAATAGACAGCTGCGAGAAGACCTAATCCTAGACAAATACGATGCAGGCTACTTTGCTGTCTAAACAAGATGGCGGCTCAGTGAATTGCTCCAATAAATCAAATCTCGCCGGAATGATCCTCTGCACACAAGCAGACGCTTTCCCAGCCGCTAATGTGAATCAAGTTTATTTGTTTTTGATTTCAACATGAAATAAGCCATAAAATACAACTGTTACGTTTGTTTATTTTAGCTTTTTCTTCTAGACGCGAGGTAGCGCATCGTCACGTTAAAGCCGTCCAGAAGTGTTCCGATTCTCTGACAGCGTGGGCTCGGTGCTGTCTTCTAAGCAGTCTACGTAGACTGCCTACGTGCTGTCTAAGAATTCAAACAAAGCCCTTGTCTGTGCACAGCCTCCCTGGCCTGCTGGATAGCCCATTTTTGGTCTTGAACCTCCGAGCTGAGCAGCACAAGCCGTACTTCCTAGGTACATGTACTTCGTCCAAGGCCACGAAGAATTCGTCTTTCATTTGATCCGGAATCCCACAATCGCGATATGCGCAAGCAAAGCATGCGGCCGTACCGGCACGCGCGCGATGACCCCGCAAATGCTGTCATTTCGGCATAATCTTTACGTGTTTACAACCTAAGTTTACACAGCGTGCACGCATTACACATGTCAACACCAGAAAACACAACACCCAGCAGCGCGTTGCACCGGCGCACCAGTCGAACAGCTGACCCAAAAAGCAAGCGTGAAAAAAAAAAAAAGGTCGGCGAAACGGACTACGAAACAGCGGCGCGGTCGTGTTGCCGTTCACCTCCCGTTGCTATGGTATGACATCAGAGCGTCTTGTGCTGAAACAGCCCATCCGCGTGCAGGCGCAGTTACTAGCTCTGCACCCACTAGAATCTCAATATGCCCCTCCGGGACAGCTAAGGGTGAGCACGCATTTCTTTGCCGTCCATCGACTTCTATTGTTTGGGGCTCGTCGGGCTTCGCCAACGGCGCCTCGCGCCCACGGCAAACGCTAGGCCGAAGAGCGGCGCGGTGCCCTAGTGCGGGATCAAACTACGCCGACCCGTACCTCTCGAAACCAACGCGAGCGCCTTTGCCCTCGCTCGAGCAACCGGGCCCTTTGTCCTGGTGTCTTCGTGGAGACGTTCTCGCGACACCCTGTGTAGTACTGCTCGCCCGGGGCGTGGATAAGCCCATTTTGTTTCCCGCCGCGCCTTTTGCAACGGGCTCTGTACTGCGTTTTGGTGTCACCACAGACAATGAAGTGTTGCGCCCTTGAGCAGTACCGTGTTCCTGCCACGGCGACAGTTAACGCTTCCCTGCGGCTCGCTAAGCCCGGATCCACGCTAGTGGCCCTACTCCTTCGAGATACGTGTACACTACAACCTTCGTTGTCTATCCACGTCTCGTAATACCATATTTGGTATATGTGAAGCTAGCGAAACGGCCGCGAGTGCATCATGAGCGTGGTATGTATTCATGACTTACATGCATGTCATGATTTTCACGTTATGGCCTTTCATGTTCGCCATACAGTCGTGTCGTACCATACAGTTTTGCAATATGTCATGTGAACTAAACTACCGCAAGAGCAGCAAGACCATCACATGTAAATTATGACATTCATGACATACATGTCACAATTTTGATGTTATGATTAGTCATTTATGCTCGTCATACAGTCATGTTATGCCACACCAACTTTGGTATAGATCCCATTATCGTAACGGTCAGGAGAGCTAAAAGTCGTAGATAGATAGATAGATAGATAGATAGATAGATAGATAGATAGATAGATAGATAGATAGATAGATAGATAGATAGATAGATAGATAGATAGATAGATAGATAGATAGATAGATAGATAGATAGATAGATAGATAGATAGATAGATAGATAGATAGATAGATAGATAGATAGATAGATAAATAGAAAGTCGCGGAAGTTCACTAAGAAATGCTTAGCAATTGGAAACCAACCGCTCGCGCTGCACAGCCATTCAGTGACCACCCTGTATTTATAGAAACTGGATTTTGAACTTCGAGGTAGTGCCGATGAGAGATTTCTCCTGTGCGCTGTTGAACAATAAAAATTGGCAGCGTGCACGTCAACTAAAAGCAGACTGCGGGTCCCTGTTTTCAATCGGAGTCCTCCGTTTCTCACGGCCCATTAGCAGTGATTAGCATGTTCCAGTAGAAAACACCGGTCCATCATTGCGTGCTTCACGCCTCCTCAGGTTTCTGTCACGAGCAACGCCACGATGAGCGTTAGCGTCAACGTCTCCGCCAGAGTAAGAGTTAGCGCTCGCTGCTTTGGATATACGTATGGTTTCCTTTAGATGGAGATGCCGTTATTTTTAAAACACTTCATCGAGTTCATTTATATAGTTTGCAAAACTAAACATCAGGGTTTTTCCCTATAAAACTTGAAAGCCAATGGTAGATGTGAACAAATTAAAAGAAATGTCGAATCAAGATTGATTTTAGAAAGTACAAGTAATTATCACTAGTACAATTCATCAAAAGTCAGTTTACATCGCATGTATTGTATTAAAAAAGCATGAACATTAAAAATATTTTAACACATATATACACGGACAAATGCTACATAAGCACTGAATTATCCACAATGTCAAGAGAAACACATGAATGAATATGCAAATTTAGAAATAGTAATAAAACTAACGATAGCTTCCTAACATGACGAGACAATAACCGCACTTTCTTCGCCAATTTCAGCAAAACAACACCACTGCGCTTTTTCTTTAGTATTGACTTCACAAATACTTTTGAAAGTTCTGGAGGTAGGTCCAGTAACATCATTGGCACCGCACCAGCAGCAAGAGCAGGCCTTCCCCGGGTGATTCGCACAACTTTACTGCCGATCACATGTACGTAATCGCGAAGAACAAAATGTTCAGCAAAGTGCTTTTCGCACATTGCAGATTCCTTGACTATAGGTTTTCCTTTCTGTTCGAGATTCCACTTCGAAGCGTTCCGGTGGTCTTATTCTTTCGGCACTGAAAACAACAATATCTTTTGTTAATTTCGGGATACCTTGTACACGGCAACCCGGAGCAAAGCAATGCGTGTCCAGCTTCCTTTTCTTATCCATTAGGATATAGGAAGCTTCATCATCCCCGAGCGCACAAATACATGACAAAAAAGTTGATCACCACAACCCCAAAACCACTCAGTCACAGTGGTCACTAGGATTGAGTTGTGCCGAGTGCTCCTTTGCACGTGTTGCGTCCAGTTTTCCCCTCGAGCTAGCGATGGCAGCACCACACACAGCCGTCAGCTTTTTTTTTTTTATCACAGCTGTCCGCACGGGCACCTGCTTCACCCTTGCTCCTTCAAAACTTTCTAGAACAATTGCTTCGAGATGACGGCATCGGAGACAAGAACGATGCAAGCTACTTTGCTCTCCAAAATGGACCGCGTACTCAGCCGCTCGTTGGGTCAGCTCGGCAATGCGAATTTTGAGCTCCCGATTGTGTTTTTGGCGGCGCCATCTGCGCACGAGGCTGTGCCGCGCCTCCCAGAGGTGAAGGAGGTGGTTGTCCGCCGGCTTAGTGAAGTCCTCGGATAGCTCTATGGATAGCTTGGATCTCGCTCTTACGGCCGTCTGCGCACAAATAGACCGTTTTTCCGGCGCTTATTGTGAGCTAGGTTCACGGTGTATACGTTCAACTAATCGTAGATCTGAACGTGAGAGAAGTTAAAAAAAAAAAAAGACAGTAACGTCAGCTTTTTCTTAGCTTTCTTTTTTCGACGCGAGGTGGCGTCACGTCGCGTAGGCGTCATCTAGACGTTCCGTTTCTCAGGCAACAACATGGGCTCAATGCCGTCTTCTAAGCTATCAGCGTAGACTGTCTACGATGCTCAGCTTAGCGCCCTGTACCAAGAAAAGTCTTCCCGAAAGCTGCGCGCTGCTCGAGGTCGGATCGCAGTTCCTGCAAAGAATGCACAAGTGTGAGCCTCCGAAGCTGCATCATTTCACGGTGCAGTTGCATCCTCTGATAGCGCGAAGCCTGCTCTTCCACACGGGCCTCGAACATCTTCTGCTCGACCAGCGCCCTGTCGGCCTGCAGGCGGCGCACCTTGTCGGCAAGCGTTTCAGCTAGCCGCGAGGAGGAACACTCTGACAGGGGCGTCGTGGTGCAGCTGCTCCCACAAGCCGAGTCGGTCTGCGGCGTTTCCACAGCGGTCACCACATCGTCGTTGCTTCCTTCGGACTGAGGGAAGTCCTCGGAGTAGGCCTCGTCGTCGCTACTACCACTGATTTGCCGACGGGTGTGACCCGCCGACACGGGATCATCGACCGCGCGCATGCACCCCATCGAGGAGGACCACTGAGTTGGATCTTCCCCCTCGGTGGAAAAGCGCGATCCGGTCCAGCCGGAATCGGCCGAGTTGCAGGGGCTGGGCGCAACCCACGGGTTCGTCTTAATGCGGTTCCTCTGGCGTGCTGCCGGTGACGCCGCCAGAGAGCCGGTGCAAATATACATGGCTGGAAGTAGGCTGCTGGCTCGTGGCTCCTCCATTCCTAGGTGGGTACGACAGGCGTCCGAAGGGAAGCCGGGGGACTCCTGTTGCCTTGGGGGTGTTTTCCTTACCCTTTTGCGTGATCGGCCGATGTGTAGCTCGACCCAGCGAATCAGCTTCATGGCTGCTGCTTCATCCTGCAAAATAAGGCGTCTCATCAGGCCCTGCATCCACTGACCACACCTCTTCGTAGTGGATATCAGAACGCACTACGCCGCATACTCATGATCACGTTCAAAGGAATGAGTACAGCTGGCTGACTGAAAAGGCCAGTGTCTGTCTCAGTGGGCCAGTACCTAAATTCCCATTGCCTCCAACATCTCGTCAGGTTCGCGCCTTGACTAAGCTAACCGGCTGCTACGCACTTACCTGAAGGTCAGAAACCTAGTGGCTTACAGAAAGAGTTCAACTTACATTGAGGATTGCCCAGTGAGCCATAACAAGAAGAAACAAAGACAGTTGTAACCTTGATAAAAAAAGAAGAGAGCCAAGGACGTCAGTGCAGACGAAGGCATTGATGATGATGATGATGATGATGATGATGATGATGATGATGATGATGAACCTTCGGCTTTGCTGGCACTCGCCCACAAAGGGGGATCGGCCAAGAACCGGGCGGCAGGATCATCAAGTGTGTTCAGTCAGGCATTCAGGTAGTCTCGTAGCCGTAAATAATAACAATAGGCTAACAGGGTAATCTCTTTGTTGCCCTTATGTACTCGCACACAGCAGAGAAAGCCTCCCTGTGGCTATAACCTAACGTAATCCCTCCGAAGGATAAAATTAGTTCCACGTTTATTTTTAAACCTAGCTTCTCAATTGGTTCGACCAGGTATCTTTTCCTTTGATAAGCATAACGTTTACAGGATAAAAATGAATGATCTACTGATTCCGATTCCTTGCAAAAGAGACACAACGGAGATGCTGTTAGTCCAGCTTTATGTAGGTAGTAATTCAGATGCGGAATTCTGCATCGTAATCTGGTAATTGTAGTTTCTAACTGCCGAGATACACACCACTGTTTGTTCCAGCAATATCTTAGATGTACGAAGTCTCTGACTTTATCTAATGATAAGTTTTCTATTTCTTTGTGCAAACAAGCCTTTCTATATCTGAGTGCTGTTACGTAGGCAAAATCAGGTAAAATAGGTAAGATTGGTCCGCTTAAAGATGCTTTGGCTAACGAGTCTGCCATCTCATTTGGATAAATCCCGCAGTGGCCGGGTATCCATAGCAAGTGAAATTTTTTCAGGTTTTCTGGTAATAAACTGCTAATCATACTCAATAATGTCAAATTTTTTGCCGTAGATAGTGCAGAGCATATTGAGAGAGAATCGGTAAGTATGACCGCTTCTGATTCGCTAGCAGGAAGTTTACGAAGCGCTAGAATTATAGCAAATAATTCAGCGATGAATATAGTCGTGTAATCTGGTAATCGAACTGAGAAAGACCAGTCGAGAGAAGTACAGAAGATGCCTATTCCAGCCTTTTCGTTCAATACGGATGCATCCGTCGCAATAATGTTGTTTGTGGACAGATGAGTCAAGTAATCTTTTAACCGAATATTTAAATATTGAAGGGGCAGTTGTTTTGCATTACAGGGGAAAATATAATCAAATTTAATTTCAAGTTTTGAATTAGGTGTCTTCGTTATGCAAATCTGATAAATATTTACATTGAGAGGCTCTAGCAATGCTTGGACGAACCTAATCTGAGGGGAGTGTAGTCTAGACCATTGTGTTCCAAAGAATGCGGTTGGTTCTTGAATAAAAACGTATGAAGCTTGTCGCAGAGGCGAATCGTATATTTTTAAGAAAGTTTGAACTGTAAGTATTCTAAACCGAGTTAACAAAGGTGGAAGGCGCGCTTCCACATACAAAACATTATTTGCCACAAATTTTGGGAGACCAAGACACAAACGCAAAGCTTCTATTTCTAATAATATTAATTGTCTCATCTTGTAAGCCGCGCTGCCTGAAAATAATACACACCCGAATTCCATAATAGGCCGTACATACATCTTGTAAATCATTATCAATGAACTCCTACGCAATCCTACTTTTCTGTTTTCCAATTTGCGTAACCACCCCAAGGCACGTGACGCTTTACAGCCAACCTCGTCTATATGGCTTTTCCAATTTAGCGTCCTATTATATAAGATGCCTAGGTATTTCAGGAAATCGACCTGGGGAATGAGCTCGGTACGATACATCAGGGAAATGTTGACACGATCCTTAAAAGAGTATGGCAGAAGCGCGCTTCTTTTGACGTTCAATGACATATGGATATTGTCAAGCCATCCTTCGAGCATGTTCATGTAATTCTGTAATGCCTGATACAGTGAGTGCAGATCACTGTTTGTTGCGAAGAAAGCAATATCATCTGCATATACGTAAATTTGGGTATCCTGATGAGTTGGAATGAAACTTAGTAATATGCTGTATAACACCGGGGATAATACTGAGCCCTGAGGTACACCTCGTGTCTGCTTATATTTTTTAGAAGAGCATCCATCCAAGAAGCAATAAAATTCTCTGTCTTTCACAAACTCTGTTATCCATGCAGTTATATATTTTGGAAAGCGATGGTCTTGCATCTGCTGGATTAGGATAGGATATTCCACTTTGTCGTACGCTTTAGCTAAGTCTAGAGTGACTAGTGCACAGTATTCGCGGCGATGCCGAGCCAGCTGTATGCGACTTTCCAAATCCACATGTGCACACCAAATGGAGTATCCAGATCTAAAGCCAATTTGTCTGGGGTTCAGTATTGTATGTTCATTGATGTAGTTTATTATACGGGCATTTAAGACTCTCTCTACAAGCTTGACCAGGTTAGATGTCAATGAAATAGGCCTTATGTTATCCAGAGTAAACTCCATTCCCTGTTTCTTAAGTATCGGAATTATTTTGGAAAGCTTCCAATCGGCCGGAATCCAAGAATTTTTCAGTGAATAATTAACTATATTACGGATTTCATGTGGCGATATTTCGTATAACACTTTAATCATTGTAGAGGTCACCCCATCAGGTCCAGGAGCAGCGGGCGGTAAGCTCTTCATCACACCCGCCAATTCAGCTAAAGATACCTCCTGGAAATCACAATCCACCCTTAATTTCACCATGGACTTTGGCATAATTGTCGTAAACCTGGTTTGCAAGCCTTTAGCAATATTTTCCAAGAATTCAGAGAGTTCGCGAGGAGACATAATGGTGGAATGACTGCTTTCTGTCTGTGGAATCATTTTTCTCGCACGTAAAAACCCGAAAAGCATTTTCTTACTTTTAGACTTAGACAGATAATTAAATTTATTCATATCATAGTCTTCTTTTGCTTTGCGCATTAGACGCTTAAAATCGGCGGCCATGAATTTATAATCACTCCAATTTTTGGGGCATTGGTTAATTAACAGCTTTTTCCAAGCTGTTTTTTGCTTTCTATACCCCCTGACACATTCTTGATTCCACCACGGGCTAAAAGATCCCGCTGTGTTCGAGTTTACAGTAAACGTTGAATTTTTTAGTGATCGTTTCAACACCGCACATAGACTCATAGCCCTAAGGTTTTCCTGCATTTCCTCGCGAAAAGTTGACGTAGATTTTAAGTCTTTTTGTAATTTAGCATAATTTACGAATGAGCCAACTTTCCCTGCCAAACTAAACCCCGGGAACTTAATTTCAAACGTAATAGGAAGGTGGTCGCTGTTTGTAGCCCAATCTAATATATTCCACGAGGATATGCCTAAAGTGGAGCTGGAAAATGTTAAATCAATAGTCGATTTAGAGTTACCTCTTACAAATGTAGCAACGTGTGAGTTCAAGGAGGAAAAGTTATTATCAAGCGTCCATTCCCACAAACGTCTTCCGCATACATCAGATTTGAAGCCCCAAGACACATGGTGTGAATTGAAATCACCACACAGTACTATTTCTTTTCTGCGTGAAGCTACCATAATATCGAGGCATCTCGTGTCTTGAACTCCTGCAGGAAAGTATACATTTGCAAAAGAGAAAGGCGAGCAGTCTGGTAGTGTTATGTCTAACACCAGAATTTCGTAATTCGTATCCATACACTGATACGATATCTTGGCTCTGTGACTAAATTTAGTTGATATTAAGAAAGCCAGACCGCCACCTCTACTCGGCCGATCCAGCCGTATTAATCGATAATTTTTTATGTAAAATTTTTTACCGTTACCAAGCCAGGTTTCTTGAATGGCAATGATGTCGGGAGAAATTTGCGAAGAAATATATTGTAAATCTGTAGTTGCCGACCAAATAGACCGGCAGTTCCACTACAGAATTTTTAGGGAACCTATTTTGATGCTATACAGGCAGAAACTGCCTGATCCAGAATATCTTTTTTCCAATAAATCATTTTTTTAAAGGTTCTCAAAGAATCCTTCTTTGACAAGTACTTCTTGGATTTTGGGTTCTGAGAAGACTTTTTAGAAGGGAGAGATCTGTTACGTTTCAAAGTTCTTAGAGATTCTGTGTTCATATCTGTAAAGTCTCCTGAATCATCTGTCACACGTTCTGACTCAGCCTGAACTCTATTTTTTGAAGGTCCTGCTTTCGGAGAGATAGATCTATGATTGACTGTATGATTTTCTTCCTCTGTACCCCTTGAAATCAACAGAGCGTGCGAATCCCGATTTTGCACAGAAATTGTACCAATGATTTGTGTCAGCTGTTGTGTTAACATATCAGCCAAGACTTCAAAAAGAGTAGCTGCCAGACGCTGCATTGCCTTTTCAGTGGACTTTTCGATAGCCTCAGTTATCGACTTTGCGAGCGATGCATCCATTGCCGCTGTGTGCCGGGATGTTCTGCCTGCGTAACCTTTCGATCTTTCATGCATTTCTGCTACCGCCTCCCTCCTAGAGCAACGCCTGCGTTCTATGATTTCTAGAACACCCATTTCTCTTTCTTTTGCACCACATTCAGCAGAGTCTGCAGGGTGCGCTCCATTACACAAACAGCACTTCTGGTCATCGGATTTGCAATCGGAGCTGTCATGACTCTTTCCGCACAGACGACATTTAGCCTGTGATCTGCATCCTTTCATGCTGTGGCCGAATCGCCAACATTTTTAGCACTGCAAAGGTTTCGGGGAAAGTGGT